TGTCCAACTGAGCAATCTTGCTTTCATAAAATATACCAACATTTTAATGACTGATGATTAACATGCTGTAATACACAGTTCAAAATTAAAAGCTCAAATGCTGTACATGAGAGGTTAAGCTCCCCCTGGCGGTTTTACAAGGTGATGCCGGATAGTTTCCGGCACAACGTCAAATGACGCGCGATTAACCACGTGATACTGCGTGACACCGCGTGATACCGCGACACGCCCACTGGGGTATGCCGCGAAATACCCCACCCATTTTGAATGGCTGCATCTGTATACCATTATATAGGAATGCATGCTACAAATGCAAGTGACCAATTGTATTTAAAAAAAAGTTATCTCCAGAAAATAGGAAGGTAGGAGACTTTGAGTGATTTTGAACAATGCCAACCTTGTAAACAGAGAATAGCATAGAAATGTATACTACAAATGCAAGTGACCAATTGTATTAAAAAAAAAAAGTTTTCAGCAAATAAGGAGGTAGGAGAATGTGCATGGTTTGGGAAAACTGGCAATCTTGTGAGCACAGGAAAGTGTGATAGATAACAGAAAATATTTAAGGACTGTTAGGTTAATTTGAAAAAAAATACACCTAGTGTCTCTGTGTTTCGCTTGCATGCACATGAAATATAAACTTCTTTTAACTTCTGAGACGGACTTATGAAACTTCTGAAAACATCTGAATCTGCAAGCTTGCGGGTTGCTGAAGCAGATATGTCCCACACTACTTGTGAAGAACTTTGTTTACCATTGGCAAAAGAGCCGACACGTATTATGTGTGGATAAAAAGCTGCTAAACAGCTCGGCCTGCTGCCCCCTTCGAAAGACACAGCCATTAGTATAATTATTGATTTGGATGATGATGTCAAAAGTACGCTGATAGAGCGTGTTAAGATGAGCAGATGCTTTTCACTGCAATTAGATGAGTCTGTAGATGGAATAGTGCACGGTGGGCTTTTTAAAAAAGTTTTTATTTAAACACCAGAAATACAAAAACGGAGACAGAATATGAAATAAGATACAGAAATAGACACTTCACATCCAGAGGAATTCACAATTATAAAAGCTGAAACTTATGCTTTTTACATATTTCCATTGTATGTCCTTTTTTACTTAAAAAAGGTCTGCTTTAGCTCAGCTGGCAAGACCTGGGTTCGAGGCAATGCAGTGAGGCACGAACTAGGGTGGGAGCAGCGAGGGCACAAGCCCTAGAACCCGAATCCGTTGCAATAACAAAAGGACAGACAATGAAATGTGGGCTATTTCGAAGTCGCAAATGTGAGATATGAAGTCACCATTCTGAGATACTAAGGAGGAATTCTGAGTTACTAAGTTGGAATTCTGAGTTACTAAGTCGCAATTGATGCAGATGCAGCCATTCAAAGTGCGCGGTACAGACACGTACCGGAGGTAATTGGCTACGGCCTCGCGCATCGTGACGCGCATTGACGCAAAATACCGCGGTACGTGATTGGTTGACCGACAGGGGCACTCGTGGTGCGTTAGTCGGTCATAGAAAGATTTAAATGTCTTTACTGTGCCCGTTTTAGTATTGAATATTTATATGGCATTTTACCACTGAAGGGAAATCTTAGTAGCTGAGCATAAAAAGAATAGGAGCATACTGTGAAGGCCATAAACGATATTAATTTTGGAACATAAACATACAGTATATTGCTGGTCTCGGTACTTTAAAGAAAACATACATACCAGTATTCCATTTCTCACTAAACATTTTAAACATCGAATTCTTTAATTAACGTGATACTGGAGTCAACAAGCATACTTTTAGAATTTGATTAAAAGGGAATATAATATGGAATCGCGTATCTAAAGAAATTAATAACAATATAATTATATTCATGTACCGCAACACAAGAATTGTACATGCTGTACGATGTCTGTTGATAATGTTTTGTAAGGCTTTTTCAACACTCCTCATGTGATCTTTCCGGTGGCGCTGTGGGTTAGGTTCCTGACTCCTACATCACACAGTGGGTGTTCAAATCCAGCTGGAGCCGTGACTCTTTTTTTAACAAACATTTCTTTTAACAAAAATAAAACGTTTCCCTGGGTCAGAGATTAAATAAAACTCCACTCACACCAAACAAATTTATATTTCTAAATATCACAACATGGTTCTTTTTGGGGGTCCTGGTTCCTCGTCCTACGGCCAGGAGGTCACCCTTCAGCCAAGCGAGTTAAGCCAAACATTTACGCCATAATAGTTCCTTACACTTTGATTTTGGGCATTGTCATTCCTCATGAAATTGAGTTTATTTAATGAAAGTTTGGGAAGGATGACAACGACCAAGCTCAATCATTCCCAGCCATCAGTGATTAGCAATCACTCCCTTTGTCCCTCCTTCACTGAATGCTATAAATACAAAATGCAGTATCTTCCTCCCTCACATGCGACTTTTGCATCCCACCTCCACCCTAACTCCACCTCTGCAGCTACCTCTTGGTTACCCTGCATGGGGGTCCTGGCTTCCTCGTCCTACGGCCAGGACCCACAATAGTTCGTTCAGTTTGATTTTGGATGTTGTCATTCCTCATGAAGAGAGGTTGCTCTAGATATGAAATGGACACACTGCAGTATCCACAGCGAGGCTGTCAAGAAAATACCTGAGGATTTAAAATCTGTTAGACTCTGTTGTGAATTGTATCAGGCTCGACCAATGAATTCATATCTGCTTTGCTCGACCACAAAGTCTCACCCCTTTACTTTTTTATTTTTTATTTTTACTTGTTGTTGCTCCTGTTGTTATTTTACAAAGTGCTTTGAGAAGCCACCTTTAAAGACGCTATATCAAATAAAGTTTATTATAATATTTATTATATGTGTATGTGAGTGTGTGCACGCACGTGTGCTCATGTTGGTTATTGAGATTTTCTGGGGTTCCTATGACTTGTAGGTGGTACTTGGATGCTTTGGTTTGATCAGGGGTGGTATTTGGTCCAAAAAGTTTGAGAACGACTGCTCTAGATTACATGTGATCACCTTGGTAGTTTTTGTTCTGCAGCACATATCTGTGAAACGGAATTATATTTCTATAAACCTTCTAGAGGCAATACTGTATACAGACTGTTTATCTGAAATTGTCTCTTGCACTGAAAAATATATCAAAACAAATAATGAACACAACACATGGAAAGAAAATTGGTTTATTTATAAAAAACAATCTCTCCAAATATAGAGCAAAAAAAGTTATTAATGAAAATCTAATAGAGAATAATCAAACCGTAACCTGGCTCTTTTGAATTCTTATTTCTGAACACGTCAAATCAAAGTAATCAAAAACAAAAGTCCAATGATGGTGAAAAATGAATAAAGCAACATCATTTCACATTTTCTTATTCATCTGCTCCAGGCAGTCACATTCTAAAACATACTAATTTATGCCTTATTGAAACATTATTAAAGACATTATACTGCATTCCTCTGCATCCCTCTTCTAGTAGGTATTGCCTTTTCTGGTATTAATTGATTTAATTTGTAAGGTTTTGGAAAGTTGAAATAAACAGAAAAAATGTTTTTTATGCACAACTCTGAAACTGATATGGCATTAATGAGAGTTATCCATATTATTTTGTTGGCTTGACAACTAATTAAATGCTGCACAAATTTTCTTGTTTATCCCAGGCATTGGCTATGCTCTCAATATCCTCATGCAGTACCAATGTCCCTTCTCCTTTCCAGGTCTACATGGCTTACCCAACAACTACACATATAATTGGTGGGCATGGAGCCAATGCCTTTTCCTTTGATGGCCACAATGACGGTGCCACGCTGGAGAAGATTGGTGTGTGGGTAGGGGGCTGGCAGGTGAAGGCTGTGAAGATCTGGCTGACCAATGGGGAGGTCCGAGAGTTTGGGAAACCAGGTACAGGTTACCAGGAGTTCAAGTTCGAACCCGGCGAGTTCTTCACCTCCCTCTCTCTGTGGGGGAACGGAGCCGGGACCCGCCTGGGAGCCATCAAGTTCAAGACCAGCCGTAACCGGCAGTTCTTTGTGAAAATGACCGACTGGGGGCTGAAGAAAGAGTACCTCATAGATGTGGCTTCTGGGATCTGCCTGGGGGTTATGGGACGGGCAGGCTCAGACATTGACAGCATGGGCTTCATCTTCATCAATGCCATTGAGTCCACAGTCATGACCAAAATGGAGTACCCCACTCTGAACCAAGTCATCCCCCAAGTGAAAACGGAAGAGATCAAGTCTATCATGTACATCAACAGCTCCTCTGTTGCCCAGGAGTACACCCTGGAAACCTCCAAAACCATAACCAAGACCTCCTCGTGGTCTGTCACTAACAACATGCAGTTCACCTTCAACATGGAAGTGAGGGCAGGAATCCCTGAGCTAGCTGAGGTTTCCTCTGGATTCAGCTGGACAGTGGGAACTGAAGACACCTATGGATTGGAGAACAAAACAGAGGCATCTGAGAAGCTGTCTTTCAAGATCCAAGTCCCAGCAAAGAAGACCATGGATGTAGCCATTACACTTGGTCATGCGGATGTTGATCTTCCGTACAAGGGCACTGTTAAAGTAACCTGCAGGAATGGGAGTGTGCTTAAGTTTAACACCAGCGGTGTCTACAAAGGCCTCACCTACACCAAAGCAAAAGTAGTTGTGAAGGAGAGAACATAAAAATGATGGATGAACCAGGTCTTTCTGATTGTCTTGTTATAGCCATGTGCTGGAAGGAAAATGCTGCAAATAAAACCTTTCAAGTTAAACACACATTTCTCAGCTGTCTTTAATTGTAAACTAGATCCAGTTTCACAGACTGGACCAGTACTAACATTTCTCCTCTTTTAAATACTCCAGCTGGAGTGCACAAGATTACACTTCCACTACAGGGTATTCAGTTTAGCTTGTATGTGGCTGTTATGTTTTCAATAGACTCTGTATTGCCTCTGGGCTTGGAACCTTTGTCTTTGTTTGAGCTATAGTTGAGCAGACCAACCCAAACTACTACTTTTCCACAGACAAAAACTTTTAAGCTAGCACCTTCCTGATCATGACACTTAATTACAGATATATCCCATTCTGTAACTATAATCTGGTATTCAAATAACAAAGTTGCCTAATTAAGATCATTGAGTGAGCATGTTGTTTATCCAGTAATGTCATCTGACTCTTGCAGGATGTTTTCTTTTGTTGTTGGTAGAGGACTGACCAATGTACTGTATATTAAGGAACAGTCAGATCTTCATGCAGTTAATGGTTTACCTCCTGGTGTTTTCATTGGCATTAGTGCTATTCAGCCACATGGGGACAGTGTGCACACCACTTGCACACATCTGCACTCCAGCTCACACTGAAGCAAGGTCCAAAACTATTCCACCAGCATGTCAACACTTCAGTCCCCAAAGTGAAGGATTCTTCCTGCAAATAAAGGCCAAGTGCTAAAATACATTTTTGTTCCCTAAGTGCATAAATGTCCTGTGTTGTACCACCTGCTCATTTCCAAGGCCAAGGACTGGGCTGTTCTACCACAGCTCTTAACTGATCCTCTGTTTTTCAACTGATCTTGCCCAGATACTCTAGTTCTTGCTTATGCTCCAAAGACAAGTTAATTCATCCTTAAATTGCATGTGTTATGGATGTGGTCTCTAGTCTGTGTCGGGTCTTGTAATAGACGCTATGCAATGCACTAAGAGCTGGAGGAAACAGGAGGCGTGGTATGGGAAAACACACGGGTTTAATGGTGCACAAATTAACAGTGACAGTCCGTGAGACAGTGAACGGGGGAGACAAAGAATGGCATCCAAATCCAAACAGGTCCAAAGGCAGGTCATGGCACAGTCCAAGAGTCCATAAACAATTAATCCATCCTCTGATGCGACAAGGTTAAAATCCCCGGGAAAGGGAAAAACACGAACACTCGGATAACATGGAGGTCCTAGAATGATGGGGCAAGTTCCTCCAGACCCTGAGTTTAGGAAACGGGAGGTGTCGGGGATGAGGCCTATGCTCTCAGGAGACGGACGTAGGGTATCCTGGTTCTAGGCGGGCCTCAACACATTCTTACCCTAATGTTGACCCCTGAGGACTGGAGGAGCTAGATTTTAAATAACGGTACGTTAACAGGCTACACCTGGGGAACACAGTAACAATCACGGGACTAATGAAGGGAGTAGTGGAGCGCCCTCTAGGGGAGGAATGTCGGGTGCGACAGCATGTGCCTTTCTATTAACGGGTGTTTGGTCTAGGGTGTAGTACTAACCTACATCCTGTGCCTTTAACATGGGATCTAGGTTGCACAACCTTTAGAGCAATAAGAAGCTTTTTGATTAATATATATATTTTATTTATACATGTATAAAGATATATGCCATCATAATCTTCGTTAGGTTGCAGTCTTTTCAATTCTGACTGCTGAACCAAAATATAAAACCCTAATTTTAGTCTTCCCTCTCATATATTGAAATCAATCCGCTTTTCTAGTTCTCAGTACCTAACGTCACTAATAACATGGGATTCAACATGCAGGTGAAGGTAGGAATCCTGGAGCTAGCTGAGGTTTCCTCTGAGTTCAGCTGGACAGTGGGAGTTCAAGATACCTATGGGGTGGAGAACAAAACGGAGACAACGGAGAAGCTGTCATTCAAGATCCAAGTCCCTGCAGGGAAGACCATGGCAGTTGCCATCACACTCGGTCATGCAAATGTTGATCTTCCATACTAAGGAATTGTTAAAGTCACCTGCAGGAATGGAAGTGTGCTTGGGTTTAACACCAGCAGTGTCTACAAAGGCCTCACCTACACCAAAAGGTCAGTAGTTTTGAAAAGGCATCATAAGAATGATGAATGAGCCAGGTCTTTCTCATTTCTCTTACTTTTGGTGAAAGGTCCTAAAAATAAAATTGAATGACAACATGCATTATTCTCACTGTCTCTTAATTGCAAACAAGATCCAGTTGTACAGATTGGTTACTGTTACTTACGAATTTAATTATCCACTCCATTTAAATTTTCCAATAAGATTTGTCTAAAGACCAATCTTTAACTCCTTTCACTAAAAGATATTAGGTGTGACCTCTTTGTGGCTGTTAATTCGACATGCAATCCTGGTTATGTTGCCTCTGGGTTAAAGCCTTTGTTATTCTGTTAGTGCTATAATTGAACTGAAAACCTAACTACTGCCATTCCAGAGACTGGAACATTATTGCTCAATTTAGCTTATGACACTTAATTTAGCAATTTAGTGTCATTTTAACCGTCTTCAGCTCAACGTCAGCAAAACTAAGGAAATGGTCATGGACTTTTGAGGGAATAAGTTTCCGCTGACTCCTGTTTCCATCCAGGGTGAGGACATAGAGGTGGTGCAGTCCTTTCTAATACCTAGGGGTATACCTCGATGATAAGCTGGAGTGGTCTGGTAACACTGACGCCCTGTACAAGAAAGGTCAGAGCTGATTCTATTAGGAGGCTCAGGTCCTTTGGTGTATGTGGAACCCCGCTAAACATTTTTTATGAATCAGTGGTGGCAGTGGGCATCTTCTATGCTGTTGTGTGCTGGGACAGCAGCGTCATGACAAGAGATGTAAATAGGCTCAATAAACTTATCAAGAAGGCTGGCTCTGTGTTGGGGCTGAGCCTTGACTCCCTGGAGGTGGTGGCTGAGAGGAGACTCTCTCACCAGGCTCACCACCATCATGAACAGTGTCTCTCATCTGCTACATAGGACTGTTATTAGACAGCAGAGCACTTTTAGTAACAGACTGCTCCATTTACAGTGTTCAAGGGAACATTTCCACAGGTCCTTCCTCCCGGCGGCTGTCGAGGTGTATAACACTGCCCTAGGCTAGGACTGCTAGCCCTTCATTTGCTCATCTATGGATAACATGTTGCACTCATGTATATTTGGACATTCCATTAATATAAAGATTTTACTGTGGTATTTTCAATTTATACATACCTATGCACATTTTGCACATTTTTTTATTGTTTTATTGTGACTATTAGCATATTTTGCACACATCTGTTTTGCTAACTCTATTTTATTTTGTATTCTATATATTCTATTTGTATTCATTAGAGTTAATTACTCTAATGTTGTAGTTTATTTTAAATTTAAATTTAGCCTTCTTGGCCTTATTTTTAAAATGAATTGCTTTGGTAGTTTTCTTTCTGCCACATTCTCCCACGTACAGTATCTCTGAACGATAAGCAATTTGAGATTATATTTCCATATAACTTCTAGAGGTAATATTGCACACAGCTCCTTTGAAGTTGTCTCTTGCAGTGATGAATATAGCAAAACATAAATAATGACCAAAATACTGCCAAAATACACGGACAGAAAAATATGACTGTATTTATAGACAAACATCCTTCTAAATGTAAAGCAAACAAAATTAGTAATGAAGAACAGAATAATTAACCAGTAACATGGCAGCAGTGGCGGTTGCTGTCTCTCCTCACCGAGAACGGAGATCTGTTCACGGCGAAGGATGAGGACTGCACCCGCACGGCTCTCATGCAGCATGAAATTGACACCGGGGATGCGCGGCCCATTCGCGTCCCACCCCGGTGGCTGGCCCACATCAAGCAGATGGTTCGGGCAGGGTTGATCAAGCCCTCCACAAGCCCGTGGTCTGCCCCGGCCGTCTTGCCGGCTCGTGGAGGTTTGGTGTCGATCACAAAAAGCTGAACGAGGTCACCCGGAAGGACTCCTATCCTCTACCGCGGATTAACGATGCCCTGGATTACATTTCCGGGTCGACCCGGTTCAGCTCGCTCGACCTCCGCTGCGGTTACTGGCAGGTTCCGCTCGCCCCCGAGGCTTGCCCGAAGACAGCCTTTTCCATCGGCCAGGGGCTCTGGCAATTCACAGTCATGCCTTACGGACAGTGTAATGCCCCCCGGCAGCGTTTGAGCGGTTGATGGAGCGAGCGCTGGCATCGGTCCCCCGGAGGAAATGTGTGGTGTACTTGGATGACCTGCTCCTGCATGCCCGGGATTTCATACAGGCCCTGGCGAACCTCCGGTTAGTGTTGGCCTGCATCCGGTGGGCCGGGCTGAAGCTCGACCCTAGAAAATGCGAGCTCCTGAGGCGGGAGGTTACCTTCCTGGGGCAAGGGGTGGCCACGGACCCAGGGAGGGTCGCCGCAGTGCGCGACTGGCCGATGCCCCGCACCGTGGTGGAGCTCCGCAGTTTCCTGAGGTTGGCATCTTACTACCGGAGGTCCATCCGGGACTTCGTCGACCTCGCCGCCCCGCTGCACCGCCTCACAGAGATGGGGTGCCATTTCATGTGGGATGCGGAGTGTGAGGCGGCCTTCCGGAGGCTGTGAGGGACGCTGGTGGGGGCTCCCGTCCTGGCCTTCAAAGATCTGATGCTGCCTTATTAATGTTTTATATTTACATATGTAGCGGCAATGCTTGTTAATAAGACAGAATTAAGTGTCGCTGTGCTTTCCCAAATGAGGCTTCATCTCTCTGTTCATCTCTGTGGTGCAGCCACAGAGAAACTATTCAAGCAGGCTGATTTAAAGATGTTTTCTTTTGAAAAGGGACAGCGCCCAACGCAAGATGTGTGTGGCTCAAATGTGGCTTTTTATTGTTTTTGTTGCAAGTTCAGGACAAATATATCAAGGGTCCAGGACACCCTTATAACAAAGCACTAATTTTGTAAATCATACTGCAGTTGCAGGACAGTTCATGTGCCAGTGATATATGAACATTACGCCTGAGTAACACAACAGCAAGAGTTGGTCCATGTGAGAAGTGAGT